TCTGACTCCTTAACCATTCGACGACCGCGGCCTCCTCTCTGGTTCATAGTTTAATATATAACATTCAATTTAAAAATTACATATATTAAACTGATTAATATATGACAATTAATTAAGGTTTTTAGTTGAGATGAAAAAAAGTTAATGGCACGAGAGGGATTCGAACCCACGACGTTGAGATGGGGAGTTGATGTCCGAGTTGATCGAGGTCACGATAGCTCAAGTGGGAGAGCAGCGGCGTATCTAGCCGAAGGTCGTGGGTTCGAATCCCTCTCGTCCCATTAACATTTTTTCATCTCAACTAAAATCCTTAATTAATTGTCATGTATTAACTGGTCAAGCGGACCACGAAAGTAGTGAATTACTCATTAATATAGTTATTTTCAATCTTTTTCATTGATTATTTAATATTTGAAAATAGCTGGTTTGTTTAAGAGAGATTTTTGTGCAACACTAATCATCGGATTATCATTTCAGTCAGTTAATCTATGTTCTTCAGCTAACAGTGTGGAAAATAACCCAATTTTGTGTTTAAAGGCGGCGAAATTGTAGCCGGGTTTTGTTCGTGGCTACTACGAACTGTGCCGTCCTGTTCATTTGTAATTCCATTCTAACCACAACCCTTTTAGTACGGACCTGCTCATTTGAAACCATTAGGACATGTGGGTTTAAATCCCTTTAAGAAGATTGGATTACAACTCTTGCGAAAAATTAAAACAATCTTTCAAACATAATATAATGGGAAATTAACAGTAGTAATTATATTTGTGTGCTGATTAGTGACCGTTAGTCGATGATTATACGGAAATCGTGAGATGCGGTCNTAACATTTTTTCATCTCAACTAAAATCCTTAATTAATTGTCATGTATTAACTGGTCAAGCGGACCACGAAAGTAGTGAATTACTCATTAATATAGTTATTTTCAATCTTTTTCATTGATTATTTAATATTTGAAAATAGCTGGTTTGTTTAAGAGAGATTTTTGTGCAACACTAATCATCGGATTATCATTTCAGTCAGTTAATCTATGTTCTTCAGCTAACAGTGTGGAAAATAACCCAATTTTGTGTTTAAAGGCGGCGAAATTGTAGCCGGGTTTTGTTCGTGGCTACTACGAACTGTGCCGTCCTGTTCATTTGTAATTCCATTCTAACCACAACCCTTTTAGTACGGACCTGCTCATTTGAAACCATTAGGACATGTGGGTTTAAATCCCTTTAAGAAGATTGGATTACTACTCTTGCAAAAATTAAAACAATCTTTCAAACATAATATAATGGGAAATTAACAGTAGTAATTATATTTGTGTGCTGATTAGTGACCGTTAGTCGATGATTATACGGAAATCGTGAGATGCGGTCTCGTGTGATATAGGTATCAGAAAAATATTTTCCTTATCGTGCCAACGTTTCGATCTTTATTGAGATCATCTTCAGGGACTGGGATTTACAAACATTGTTTAAATTTAACAAATATATGTAGCATATGGAAAAAGGAGAATTTATACATTGCAAAAAATATTTTAAATTATATTTATTACATAGCAAAGGTTCTCATTTATCTAATGTGTAATTTTTGTATTCAGATCATTTTAAAAATAAATAACCATCTCTTACATTATCTCTTATTTCTGATGTGCTTATAAAATGTTACATCGAAAAATATCTCATTCTGAGGAAATGTCTGTGTGTACGCTAGCACTTTATTTAATGAAGACATACTGCCAAATGAACAGCAGGGGAAGAGTCTAATCAAGATTAATTTGTCGAGACGATTGGCCTCGAAGAATTAGTTCTCGCAGTGAGTATTTCTTAAAGTATTTCACATACATGGCGTTCTTTCTTGACCATAATGAACATTCGTTTTTATGTAACAACTTAGTGTCAACTTACATCGATTTAAAATAAAGATATTCATTTTTAAGATAATTTAAATTACATGTTATCAATTAACTGATATTCGAAATAAATAGAAAACAAAAATATATAGCAGATATGTAATAATTTGCCAATCGAACAGATCGAAGCTTTTGCACAATTACAAACATGGTAAAAACATAAAATGACGGGCTGAGTACTCAAATAAAAATCGTGAAGAGCGGCCACGCAGGTTTTTTCAAAGAGAAAAATTTTGCGTACTCAGAAGGTTTAAAAATGTCCAGCCATCTCAGCTTCACAAATAGCATAATCATAACATTTTTTTTAAATATAAAAAGTAAAGTAATACCTGTCATACAGGAGAGCTTAATGTCCAACTACTCCTCAAACCAGTTTACAATACTCTTTCCAAATTATTCTCAATTAAAATTCAAAGGGCTATGCCAGAATTCGACCCAAGACCGTTGGCGTGCTCAGAGTCTCTAGCCAACCGGTTCGCCGATGGAAATTGAGGAATGTTTATTTTTCAATAATACCACAAAGAATTTATGACACATAACGTTCCAAGACAACCTAACCCCCCATCTTCGCATTAAACATTTAAAGTACTTTTTACTTTTGTCGACTTACTTGTAGAACGAAAAAATTAAATATTTTCCAAAAACTTGTTTTCTCACAAAAGTACATTTGGAAATGAAATTACTCAGAACCTCGCGTACACGATGTCACGAAAAGGTTTTTATCAGAAATGTTTTGCCTTTCAAATGCCTCCAATTATTTTTTGAATTTATCAGAACCATTAGAGGGTTTTAGAGATAAAAAAATAAATATTTGAGAAGTTTTGTTCATATAATCCTTACAGTTCTCAATTATAACGAGACAATATTAAAATCTTGTTTTTAAAGACAGAATGAAAAAAAATTAATATTTCTTCGAGTTTTAATAACGTTGAATTTGCATGAAATTCAGAGGTATTATGAATTGTTAAGTGAAAAAAAACTTTGCCCCTAGCGAATCCAACCAAGAAATTTTTATTATTTGATTGCATTAAAAATTTATATAAGAGCTTTAAAGGATGCTTAGATCAAATCCAAATTATGATTATCAACTAAAATATTTTTTGATCCACTTTACGCGTGGGTCTTTTGCAAGTTGTTTTTACATCGGATCTCATTAAAAACAAACTTAAAAATTATTTATTTATCACCTTAACCATTTGAGAAAAAATCAATGAATCGTTTAGAATAAACGTGACATTCATACACAACATGATAGACACCCACAGTTAATAAGAAATATATAAATTACTTTAAAAAATTTCCCCTCGTGGGGCCCATTAATAAGAAAGTTCGGACACAAGTTTAATGTGTTTCTGTCCAAGAATCTCCATTAAGTCAAGTTTGAATACTGCCAATGAATTCCTACAATGTTGACTCATTTGTAATAGTACAAAATAAGACTACAGCTTTTTAGTCGTTGTGTGTCTTGTAGGAAGGGTGAAAACAATTCTATAATAATCTCCAAGGGTATTCTGGAAGAACTGCCTTACAAACATTCGGCTCTTCTGCAGTTCTGAGCAGTAACCACTATTTCATTTATGATATGTTTCTCACTGCGATTTTTAATGGAGATTTTAGAGTTACATAACAGTGTGTAGGTTGCAGTATTCGTAAACGACTAAAGGTTTATTTTTTTGTAGATATTTGATTAATAATTTTAGCCTTTGTTCAAACATAAAAGCTTATTGAGATATATGCTAGTTTTTTTACCTTCGTTGTCAAGAAATCAAACAATCCTTACTGCATATTAAGAGTTAAACGTCAAATTTATTTGTTTTACCGCTTGTTGGATGATGGTAGGTGGAATTAAAGCGCAGTGCTTGATAAGTACTAATTGATAAATTGCCCTTTCCATAGTACATTATTCTCTGAATATAAAGGAAATAGGTCAACGCTCCCCTATACTTGCCCCTTGTTTTGTCTTCTAATCCTAAGTTATAACGATTATTTAAAGATAGTGAAATGCTGTCTGGTGTGATGTAGGTTTAGAAAAACATTTTCTTTATCGAGATAACGTTTCGATCTTTATTGAGATCATCTTCAGGCCATGAGATTTATAAATATTGCTTAAATTATACAAAGCATGTAAGATTTGAATGTGAATTTATAGAACGATGTACAAAATATAGAAATTTTAGGTTTAATCAAAGTATTTCTACTCACTTAAAGTAAGTGTTTTCTGTGTAGATGTGTCACTGTTGTGTGTCGTTTTGAGAATGTTAGTGAGATATTATGGTTTTTTTAATACGTTTGATTTTGAAGGAGTGGGGAGGGAAGTAGGAATAGAAATTCATTTTTCTATGAGCAGTCAGTTTCTTTGAGGTGAAAGGAACCGACAATGAAAAAACAGGTAATGTTTATCGTTCGAGCATTGTTAGCCTTTCAGGGTTATTATAAATTGGATTACTAGGGAAAAGAGAAATAAATTTTTGGGGATGTAGATTATGTTGTTTGATATGTGGAGTGTAACGATTGTTTTATATGTTGTATTATATGTTTTGTGTGTTATATGTATGTTATTGATTTTGAATTTGATTTATGACATTAGCGTAGCTGCTGCTGAATTTACATGTTCTGTTCTGAAATTGATACTGTGTTTATGTATATTGATGTAAACCATTTCTAAAAATTCACTAGTTTTTTTGGTCCCCTTGACCAATTAATATATTTCAATTAATTACGGTTTTTAGTTGAGATAAAAAAGTCAGTGTCACGGGCGGGATTCGAACCGACGACCTTCGATCCACTCAGACATTAACTTCCCATCTCAACCCCACCTTGTGAATTTTCCCTCCTTTTTGCCATTTTTGACATTTCTAAATAGTTACGTTTATGTTTGTTTTGTTCTGTGTTTAATATTTTTGGATTGTTTAAATCAAAATTGTGTTGTGTTAAATAATGGTTAAGTTATAATCTAAAACGGCAATAAACAACAATTTATTTATTTAAATTGGAACATTGACAAAAGAAACTGTAAACACGGAAAATATTTTATTATGCAATGAAAAATAATTTAGAAATTAAAAGGTATTTTGACAATAAAATAAAACTTTTGTTTCAGAATTTATTGAAGAAAGAAGAATCCTTTTAGAAAATGTGGGTCCAGACCTTCAAACGCACTATGACTCCACAGGGCTCGAGGTCTGCAATATTTATAAATTTTATTTGATACAAACGATTGAACATGCACGTTTTTTTCTCACTACTTTGGCCTTCCAGTTATTATAACTGATAAAACTACCCTACTATATGTCTCATCTACAAAAAAACTTTCTTCTTTAGGAAATTGAGAAAAAGTTTCTTTCTCTCTTAAGAATAAGAAAATAATCCTTATTTTAAAATTTAATCTCTACCTGCCAATTTATTCTTGCTTTGTTACAAAAGCGTGAATTAGACAAAAAAGGTTTTAAAAAATTCTAACATATAGTCAAACACTTGATATTCATCACTTCACACGGCATTATGAATAATTTGACTAATGGTGTTATTTATGTTTTTAGGTCGAGCTCGTCGATATGCATTATGGAACAGAAAACGACCCACTGTCTCACCCGTTTCAATACGAGGATCTCATTCAGGAAATAAGGGAATGTCACAAAATATCCAGAGGGTGCTTTTATCTGGTAAGAGTCGGCATATCAAAAGGCCATAGCCTTCGCTTTGAATAATATAGCCGTCAGGTAAAATTAAATTAGGCGAGCTCTTACCGTATAATCGATAATATTAACTTAAACCTGTTCTACTCAAACAGGCCGTGTTCGAATAGACAAACAGAAAGTCTTTATTTACATGCATTCGACATTACAAATCATACCTTTTTACTTGAAAAAGACCCTTTAATACCGTTCTGAATTAGAATCAATTGGTTCACAAGTGACGACTCTAAAATTAGCACAGAAGAACAACATTCCTATGTTATCTTAGTTTATAAGTTTATAATTAATTTTGACAAAGTATATATGTGTATTAATAATTTTAATTTTGATAGGTAATATCATCTTTTTACTGGGATATTTCAACTACAATCCAAATATACGTAATGTAATGTATAAAATATAAATTTTCAATTCAACCAAATTTTGACTATTATTGAATAATAAAAGTAATTACATTGATTATTAGTAGATATTAGTAACAAAATACTTAATATATTAATTTAAAGTTTTGGATGAAATGGAATAAAAGGAAAGAAAAAGTAAGCATTCAAGTAAGCCGACATCTTCAAGGCGGGCTAAAGGAAGTAAGACAACATTTCATATTTTAAGTTATACGAACGATTAAATGCAGCGGAATGCAGAAGTGCAGATGTAATGTGTAATGAAATAACATGAAAGTAATAAACATAATAGGTTTACAAGAAAATTCATAGGTTATAGTTTTAGAAATAAGAGTGCTAAGCGTGTCGCGTTGTGCTTATACACTTATGTGCAAAGTCTCAGTCTGCACTTCTGACCTGTACTTAAGTAATTCGTAAGTAATTCATAAATGCCGCCAAGAATGGAACACGATTGCACGATATTTGAGTATTGGCAAAAAATATAGAAATGCAAAATGTTGTAATTTGAGATGATTAGTTGTTATCTCGAAGACAGAAGTCACTCAACTGGTAGAACCTCCGGGTTACTGCCACGAGGTCGTGAGTTTTAGTCCGGCTAGTGACACTAATTTTTCTACTCGACCATAATTTGCATAATAATTGAAGTAGTGACATTGGTTAATAATACCAACTAAAAAACATAATAGATTAGTAAATTTAACTATTTAATATTTTTGGAGACACGTCTGCTTTAAACTTTTGAAAAGATTCCAAGAGTTCAAATAAGTTGTCCTCAATGTAATAATCATGAAAAGTAGATAAAAGCTTCATGAGACTAAAACCTGGCCAACCACCCTGAATAAAGTGGTCAAAATAGTTAAGTATACTAAACCCGCACGACTTATCTTTCTTCCGTAATTATTGGTGCTTAGCGCCGTTACAACTGTCTAAAAACATTAAAAACGTTACATTTTTACAATTTTTGTATCTTAGTTGTAAAATTATTTATTTTTATACCAAAATAAATAAATAAATAAAATATTGACAGGAAATTGGCGGGACCCTGTACATCCTCTATAGCTTTTGATTAATGCGCAATAAATAATTCATTAACCACAGCAATGATCAACAAAAAACTTATCTTTGTTCCTGAGGAAGACGGGGAGAGAGAGAGAGAGAGAGAGAGAGAGAGAGAGAGAGAGAGAGAGAGAGAGAGAGAGAGAGAGTAAGAGCAAGAGAGAGGGGGTGAGAGACCTTGCCATGCGTCCGTTTTAACGCAAGAACGAATTTAACGGGAGTACAGAGGATCTGAAGATGAGGACATAATATATGAAGAGGGAAGAATATGAAGATATGATCTGATCCAGGAAGACGGCAAGAAATTATTGCCTACGGTAGGAAGGGCCACTTCAAGTCAATGACTATTGATAACTAATTCATAAGGTGTTTAAGCTCGCAAATGAGTCCCTCAAACCGAGCACACCCATAATAAATGTGGTGGAGAATAAGGAGGAGACTAAGATTTTACGCATGGGGAAAAACTGGGACGACTGAATTGATGGAACGAAAATTACTGTTGAAAAATCTAGTAGAGATGCGGGGCTTTCAGGACAAAGTCCGATCAAGGATCATGTAAGGTTGTTGACGGTGAGAAGGATGAAATAATATGATGGTTAATTGCAAACGGAGGGATAGTTGGATGGCAATAGGGGAGGGAAATGGATACAAACAATGGCCGTGGATTGTTCTTCGTTCATGTTAAGATTATTTTAAGCGGCAAAGGAATTAATCGGATTTATGTTCTCTGGGAAGGTAAGGGAAATTTCATAACGGTCGACATAATGATATTTTGTGGTTTTAGGGAAGTAACAGCAAAAAAGACAAAGGGGATTTCCTTGAATCCTTAGGGACTGTAGAAGAGATGGATTAGGGCCAGCATCGAAGCTTATTTACAAAGGAGACTACTTGGTCAATAAAAAGAGTGGAACCAGCGAAAAGCCGTGTGGAAGAAAGATTTTAAAAATTCCATAAGAACTAATGTTGTTGATAAAAACACTTTTTTCGAAATTTTCCACCAGTTTTTTTTCGAATTTATAACATCGAAAAGTTTATCAGGCATTAGTAGTTTCGATGCCGGTGGACATTTTTAGTATAGCGGGTTGTGTGGGAAATATACCCCTAAACAAATCTGGAGCGCTTTATGCGTGCCAAACTTTCAGATAAGGTACTTGCTCAAATGTCAGTTAATTTTAACAACTTGACATATTTTTATATAGACCATTCTTAACGTTTCTTGGTTTCTTCTCACAACTCATTTTTTTTTAATCTACCCGTAATTCTTTAGAGTACTGATCGTCAAAATTTATTATGAACTGATTAGCAAAACTTTGCCAGCCATTATAAAGCCTACCAATTGGGTTAAAAGGATTATCCAATTCAATGACTGAGTTCAACTGTTATATTTTAAATTTTTAATTCTTTACAGTTTACTCTCCCTAAGAGAGAGCCCGGTTAATCGTACCTCCTTGAATGGCCTTTTTCTTTAATTGAAACCAAAATATTGTTTTTAAACTCCAGCGATGTCAGGGTTATGCATTACTTCTTTTTTAAGACGATAAGACAGACAAATAAACAATGAATAGATAAAATTAATCAATCCTGCATTCAATTATAGATAATTCTGATTGATCTCAATGATTCTTAATATTTTTATGCTTTGTAAAATTTATTATGTATTTAAATCGTTTTGTTATAGTAGACCTGACAGTTGCGAATGGGATTAAAGTCAAGCTGTGATTTTTATAACACAAGGCGTCTAAGTTGTGGTTTTTAAGTACTATTCCAGTGTGCGTATAGGTTTTACATATTTGATTAGTTCAAGATATTTTACGTAAAATAATTAATGATCCGATTACTTGCAGACCTCAGATCATTTTTTTTGGTAGTTATTTAATACCTTTCTTGTCCTAGTGGAATGCGTTAAGTTTATTTTCCTTACCTTATCTAAATTATATATCGAGGATTTATTTTACGCGTCGTATAGAAAAAAAATCGTTGAATTTCAATAATTTTACGACAAGAAACACTATTCGGATTTTTTCAAGAAAAGGAAGAGACAGCGGAACATATTTAATGTTACTGTGAGGGTCTATGTAGGCGTAAGTTTTTACTGTTAGGTGAGCAAAAACCGCAAGCAGTCTCCTATACAAAAGGATCACTCGCCGGGCTTTGGTACTTGATTAACAGCCTAAAGCCGACTAGTTCCCTTTGGCAAAGTAGAGAACATAATTGATCTATTTAGGCCGAGGGGCAAGAGGCTCTGTGGTCACCTCTTGTACCCCACATGTAAATTACATACCTAAAATACCACTTGAAGCATGGTGTCACCTAGAGTTTGGGAAATGGTCGGCACAACTTTCAGCTGCGGCAGTGGGATAATTTTTGTGAAGTAACATTTATATTTATCCCTGAATAACAGGGTTCCTCATTGTGTTTGTCAAATTTTTGAATCAATTGTACAGTTAATTATGGGTATGTGTGAATATTATTTTTTAAAAATTCCATAAAAATAAACATTCTCATTATTTTGCACTGGCGAACACACACTCTCTCTCTCTCTCTCTCTCTCTCTCTCACACACACTCTCTCTCTCTCTCATTCTCTCTTTTTCTCTCTCTCTTTTCTATTTATCTATTTATTAGTTCATAACTATGTCTATCTTAAACGCTTATGAAGTCGGCTAATTCTGTCTGATCTGAATGTTTACAATATTCTAAGGTCTCAAAAGGAAAAATCACTTACAGACTGTACATTTGCTACTTCTTTCTAATTAATTATTCTATTGATAATTCGACATAACATAAATTTACCAACATCAATATTGCCGTTTAAAGGGCACCAAATGAGGCTACGTTTTTCTAATGACAGTTACATTTTAATAATTTAGCTTCAACGGCATAACTTACCATATCAAATTAAGCACCCAAATATTTTCCCCTTTTTCATCCCCGTTAACCTTTGTACATTTTTCATTATTTGTTTAAAATGTAATTTAATATTTTTAATTTTCACTTTAAATTATTTTCCATTGTAAAATATGTTCACATAATATGTACATAAATATATATCCAATGTTTTTGTTATTGTTATTGTATATACAAATACTACAGTAAAAAATGTCCTATGAACCTGTGTCCGCAAACCCTTCAGTTCCGATCTGCAGGCAAAAAACCATGAAAAACCACGTTTTTTTACCTTATCCGTGAAATTGTTAGTAAACCGTTAGCCTGACCGTAAAACAGATCAAAACAACATCTGTAGAGGATTAATTTCTGCGTCGAATGAGATTAAAACTAGCCTAATCGGCAGAAAATTTCATTTTTGGCGATTTTTTGAAGTTAGGAGGTGAAGGGGTACACAAAATCCACCATTTCTGACATTTTTATCAATTTTGCGTACACTTTCTAAAATTGTTAAGTAAGCCGTTCAGATTTTTCGTACATTATTTCATTCAGTAGGGGGTACCCATCAGAAAACAGTAACATTCGATTTGGGTGAAAAGCAGTAAATTAACCAAAATTCGAATGTTTCATGAATCGGATTGGGGTTGGTCTAATGTGACAGAGAATTCGATCACAAAGAAAGGGGTTTGTAACGGAGAATTTTTTGATAGGGTGTTCAAGTTGTGAATTTTCGATAAAAATGGCAGAAATGGTGGATTTTGTGTATCCCTCCACCTCCTATCTTCGAAAACTCGCCAAAAATGAAATCTTTGGTCGATCAGGCTGGTTTTAATCTCCTTCGACGCAGGAATTAATCCTCTACAGATGTTGTTTTGAGTTGTTTTAAGGTCAGGCTAATGGTTTACTAACAATTTCACGAATAAGGTAAAAAAAACGTTGTTTTTCATGGTTTTTTGCCTTTAGCTCGGAACTGAAGGGTTTGCGGACACAGGTTCATAGGACATTTTTTACTCAGAGTTCAATTTCCTCTAAGATCTGGACTTAGCTGAATCGATTGGGGCCACCCTGTATATCAAAACGTCCTTGCTTTCTCTTCAGCGTTCAAAAATTTTCATTTGTACTCACGTTCATCTTATTATATCGTTGTTATAATTTATACTGTATTATTATTTTTAATATACGAAATGGAGAAACTAAAGAAACGTAACTATAGTTGAATAAAATGTTCAGGGACACGAAATGCTTATAATTCGCGTGCACACAATCCCACGTCCAGAATAAATTTACAATTTAGTTATTTCATCATGTCCAAATTGTTTTCCAGTGTCTTGTCGGAGATGAAGTGACGGAAAGCCCGCTCCCGGTCCTGCTCACGGAAGACGAACACGTCCAGCTAACGGGGAAAGCGAGAGATATGGGCATCGATCCTGCTCCAGTTAATTCGTGCTACCGTCCAGTCCCAGGCTACGGTTACAGACTGCAGAACACGAGGTGAGCACGTTCTTTTTCATTAAAACCCTAAGGAGAAAGGAAAAGGTCAGAAATAAAAAGTCCGCCCGTAAAATTTAACGCTCCACCTCCTGAGGGAATTTTAAAAATGTACATGACGACCCCCTTCAGGCCTTTTTCGACGGTTTTTTATGCAGCTTTTTTCTTACTTTTACGTATATTTCCTTTCTTTTCGTCCTCTCGTAAAACCAATTTTTTAATCCTTATTGATCAGACTATTAGATATATTAAGGAATAAGAAACTAGATCAAAAGTCCACGTGTACGGAAATTATGTAGGTACTAAAACATAACATGAAAGGCATGAACCCTTTGGCTGAAATCCAGAACCACACTTCACAAATCAAGCATACTTCCTTTAACAAATCCAATGGAGAATAAATGCTTTAAAAGAAAAAGCGTACACTTTTGCGTAAATACTAGAGGCTCATTTTGAATTAAATGTCTCAAACATTGCAAATGAAAAATTGATGAAACGACTATTGAATATTACCTTCAAACTCTCTCTCTATTACCTATTGTCATTACATCTAATCATCTGCGGAAAGCGATAAAGGAAAGTGCAACAATGAAAAGGTCAGGGTTAGTTGAGCAGAACTACTTAGGAATTGAGAAGTATTTTATACTATAAAATATATTTTATATTATGTAATATATTTATAGTATAAAATGCTACTAAAAGTATTAGTCTGAAATATTAGAAAATTCACCAAAACCCCGGAAAATAATTTAGTTATATAATAAATTATTAGTTAAATTTTAATCTGTCACTCAATAATTTTCCTGTGTTTGGTGCATTTTTTTCAAACCGACAAAATTAAAGATTTTTAGTAATGTGTGTGGTGGTTAGTGACCGTTAATCGATAATTATTCTGAAATCGTGAGATGAGGTCTGGTGTAATGTAGGTTTCAGAAAAAAATTTCTTTATCGTGCCAACGTTTCGATCTTTATTGAGATCATCTTCAGGGCTTGGGATTTACAAACATTGTTTAAATTTAACAAATACATGTAGGATGTGGAAAGAAGTGAATTTATACAATGCAAAAAATATATTTTTTATATTCAATCGAAGTATTTCTACTCGCTCAAAGTGTTTGTTTACTGCTTAATTGTGCCATTCTTGCGAGTCGTGATGAGAGCGCCAGTGAGATATTGCTGTTTTGTGTTTATATAGTTGGATTTTAAAGGGGTGGGGAGGAAGTCGGTATAGAAAAGACATTTTTGTATAAAGTGTCGTCTTCTTTGGGGTGAAAAGATAGTATAAATTCACTTTTCCACATCCAAAATGTAATTGTTATATGTAAACAATGTTTGTAAATCCCAGGACCAGAAGATGATCTCCATGAAGATCGAAACGTTGGCACGATAAAGAAAATGTTTTTCTGAAACCTACATCACACCAGACCGCAACTCACTATTTCTGAATAATTATTTTTAGTAAAACTCAACAATTTTTGATCTCGTGTAATTTGGGTAATATTATACCATATCTATTTTAATTAATATAACGTTACAAATACATACATATAATTTAGAATAACAATAAAATACGAGTTTTTGTTTTATTTCGACTTTGAGTGTATTTTTAGGAATACTCGGAGAATTTTTTTAAAAGAATATTTTGTTTTTAGTTTTACCGAGCTAAAAAACATTGGTATTGCAATAACATCAAAACCTAACTAATTGGGCTAGTACCACTCATAAAATATTTTTCAACGATTTGACAATTTCTTCGTTTTAACTATTCCCTCATTTTCGTTCTTTTTACCGTGAAACACAAAATATAAAATAAAAAAGTTTAACTGTTGATGATTTTATACTTAGAAATGTTCTCATATCATACAATTATTTTTTTATTTTGGGTTAAGGTTTTTTTTAAATAGTTTGATCTCTTATGCTCAGAAGGTTTTATTTGTAGCACCACTGACGGTATTATACGATAAAGATGGTAATAGTGCAGATGTTGGAAATGTATTTCACCGTTTTCCCCTTTAATGCAAACATGTTTAAATCGATGGTTTGCCCCTATTTCTCCGAATGTTTACCAAGTTTTGATACAGTCAGCGCAATTTTCATTAGATTTTATTATACGGTCTTCGGCTGATATCGCGTTCTGGCCAGGGCCCAATTAACTTCCCTCCGCCATCGTTCTGAAAATAAAACTGCGTATTGGAAAAATTTGACCTTTTATAAGAAATTTTTAAAAATGAAATTCGTAGTATATTCTTTCGATAAATCAATATTATAAAAACAACCTTTTTATATTTTATTTTTCAAGGTAATATTCAATATACATCAAAGTTTCACCATTTTTTAATTATTTACACAAAAAATTGTTTTAATAAATGCAGCTTTTAAAAATTTTTAGTGAATGTTGCGATTTTCTACCACCTCCGCTCAAAAAGTAGGTTATCCTTCCTAAATTTCACTCACAAGACGAAACTATCAGCTATTTCAATAAAACCTTTTTCGTGATACTAGTTCGAAGAATCCGAGACACAAGCAAATGCGCTTGGTTAATGTCTTAGTCGAGGAAAGTCAATTAAAGCAATTCATTTTTACTTTAAATAGGTAAAGTTCGAAGTATGAATTTTTATGGCAGACTAAAATTAGACGTCTGTAAGCTTGATTTGCCGGAGGCAATTCTTTTTTCGACCTTATCAAGTTTTTCACTAGAATATTCATAACCCCTATGGACTATGTTTGCAATATTGCAACTATCCAAGGGTTGCAGTATTACAAGTGTTCTAAAGTGCATACATTACTGCGGGAGGAAATGAAAAGGTGAAATGAACAAAACTGTTACAGGAGTTTCTGTTGATTTTGTCGTTACATTTCTTACTGATAATACCATAAAAAGATTCAGCTTTCCACCTGTTGTGTAAATTGAATAAAATCCAGGGCTAAAAATTTGCGGCTAAAAATATCGTATTTTCTTAACAAAAAAAACATATTCACGAGCTTTAGGCTTAAAACGAATCCGAATTATCATTGTTCCTAAATAAAATTTGGCCCTATTTTAGTTCTGTCTTTTCGTTTTTGGAACGTTTTGTGCATCTCATCATATTTAATACTATCCTCCATATTATTTTCTCATTCTACGGTAAAACTCTAAATCGATGATATATAAATCATATTTTAAAAATTGAGTATATAAACAATAATAAACTTATACATAAGACATTTAAGAATTGCCAAAAAAAATTCGGTTCCGTTATGTTCAAAAATGGATTTTGAAACAAATAGATTAGTTTTAAGCACCCATTAAAATTGAAATATAGAAATAAATAAGATAATTTTTTGACTGAATTCACTTTGGGCACTTTTTTTAAAAAAATTCATTCACAGGTCTGGATTTTATCCAATGTCCATGATATAAACCTCTTGGAAATCTGCATATCTCTTGGGTTTTTATGTCAAACAAGTGAGTGCAAATATCATGAAATCAACAAACACTACTCAAAAGTTTTATTTTATATTTCTTGTTCTGATTTATTTACGAACAAGTTTGTGTCGTTAGTAGTAAGGTTCTAAACCGCTATAAAGTTCCTTCAGATCGATACATCAAACACATCATAATTTTGTTCCTTCTGGCCAAAATCTTAGGTTTTAGAAAGGCAAACTTTTTGAAAATAGTTTTTTCCTAAAAATTAATTCAAGGGTTTTACATAATGAGAGAAACGAACGAACAAAAAACTTTACCAGGCGATTGGTCTCAAAATAATTATGTACTCCATTTCAATAGATAGCTCCAATTAATAAGCCTGCTAATTGATTTTTGAGTGTTTTTTAAATAAACGTACATATAAATTACAAAGCAGTTTTGTTGTTTTTAGCAAGATACAATATTGCAAGAATATTTGTTCATGTCAACCTTTTTTTATGCTCAGTGTTATACTTAAAAATTCAGAACTCCTATGGATTATACATACGCAAAGTCTACCGCAACTTTTGAACTATGTTATTTTTCTCAATTATAATCACACTTAAATCGAACACGGCACTTGCCAAAAAAAAATAATTTCCACCAATTTATCGAGACCAGAAATATTTATTTTTTGATACTATCTGAGTGTACGAATTACGACCAAGTCGTAGAATAAAAATTACCAACTGAAAAAATTAATAAGCTATATTATGTCTATTATTTGTTTTTATTCTTTGCACTTCTTGGAGGTTCTATAGAATAAATATATGTATAAATAATTCACTAATTCACCTGATTCAACGGTTTGTTGTGTTTGTTATCAGTGTTAGTACGATAAATCCAACAATAGGCGTTTTCATCTCTGACAAAGCGACTGTATTTGTTAATTCGGTACGCGAAATCAACATTCGTATGGAAATTAGGCTGGATTGTGTTCCAGCTCCGGTAAATCGAACTTTGCTCCTTCACAAAATCTAATATACCCCTTTAAATTCGATCTGTACACTCCTGAACCTGGTACGAATTGCGATATTAAACCAACTTAATTAAAGAGTTGGATAACATTATTTTTGTCTTGTTTTTCGGGTGACTTAACTTAAATTAACAGTCCTTCATTACGGTCAAACGATTTCAATTAATAATTTCATCTAACTGAACATAATATGTACGCGGGTCAAATATTACATAATTGTCAATTTTCTGCATCATCGAAAAATACCTATGTAAAAAAAATTCTACAAACAAAATTTCTCAACCATCAATGAGGAAAAATAATTAGTTCCAAAAATCCCATTTTTATCATATAACATTGGCTCAAAATTATTCATCAAAAAATAAAAAGCCGCACGTAATGTTGATAAAAGTTATAGCTTTACGGTAAAAAATATATACTTAATCCATATTTGCTTCGTTGTCATAATTGACCATATTAATTATTCCAATTAATTATTCTTTCTATCTAAGGCTTTTCGTTGAGATGAGTATTTAAAGTCACGAGCGGGATTCGAACTCACAACCTTCGGCTCAATACAATACGCCGCTGCTCTAACTACTT